CTTTCTCCCTCATCTTCCAAATGCAGTCATTTTTCTATGTTTTGTACTTAGTTTTCTTTTCCTTTGACTGTCTCATCTACTTCTACCAACTTGATTCTCTCAGCCATGGATGACTCCCGGATCTGTCCTTTCAGTACCTTTTTCTTTCTAGAAAGTCCTGTCTCTTCAACTGCTTGTTCAGCATCTCCACCAATAGGCCCTCTGAGATATCAGAGTCACTAAGACCAAAGTTGTCCCCTGGAACTCCCGATTTTGTCATTTCTCTCAGTGGCATCATCATTCACTGAGGAAAGAACCTATGGAATTTTCTTGGATGTGTCATCTGCTTTTCTCATCCAGTGGTCGCCATGCCCTGCCCATTTAGCATCAAAGTGTCTTTTGCAGGTATTTTCTTTCCATTTCTATTGCCAGCCCTCTTGCTAAGGTTGCTTATTAACTCCGTCCTACCTCCTCTTTTACAAGCATGACAAGAACTAGTTTATCCATCTTCCGTGTCTCCTCTGTATCAGTCAGGGAAGCTGAGACACTATGAATGTTAGGGGACGGGATTTTTAGGCCCCCACAGTTGTGGGAGGAGCTGGGAGCAGAGGCTCTATGCGTTGTACCCTGTGTTCAGACCCTGTAGCCTGTCTTCCACTGTCTTGCCCCAACTCAACATTCCAATCTGATTGCTCACAGCAAGCCTCTTCTGTTCCTAATCAGGAAATAGGAGTCGCAAGTATCTGGATGTGCCACTGTTTATGTTCATTCTTTTGCTTAAAATTCCATTTTCTCAACCTGTTGAAATTTTTCAGGACCCAGTTAAAAAGCTACCTTCAACCTCAACTAAATGTGATCTCTTCCTTGGCTGAAACTTTTTAGAACTTTCTATCATTCATTTATTCATTGATTAAACACTTATAATGGTCCATCATACGACAGGTGCTATTTTAGGATGCGGAGCTTTGGCAGTGAACAAGATGAAATGTGCATGCCCTTGTGGCTATTGTACAAGGTGTGATCAAAAGCTATGATGAATATTTAAATAAAATAATTTATTACAGTAAAAGACGCATTGCCATTAACCCCCCTCAAAATACTCTCCCTCGCTTCGAACATACTTATTCCATCGTTCTTGCCACTTTCTGAAGCAGTTCTGGAAGTCCTCTTTCATGAGTGTCTTTAGTTGCATTATCATAGCTGCCTCGATATCCTGAATCGATTCAAAACATTTACCTTTCACGGTCATTTTGACTTTGGGGAAGAGCCAGAAGTCGCACGGTGCCAGATCTGGTGAATAAGGAGGATGAGGACACGCCGTAATGTTTTTATTTACAGAAATTGCCGTATACCAGAAGCGATGTGTGACACAGAGCGCTGTCATGATGGAGGATGATCTATGGCACACTTTAAAACACACCTTCTCTCAACCATAGCTCACACCCCACTGACTGTACCAAACAAGTTGAAATTTGTCACACACTGTTACTAAGGTTCGATGCGTGGTTTTCCATATTGAAGATCCCTGCCTTTCTGTTAGATGGCACTTGGCAGCAGCATTCACCATATTCTTTGATCACAACAAAAAGGCTCTGTGTCACACATCACCCTGGTATATGGCAGTTTCTGTCAAATAAAAACATTACGGTGTGTCCTCATCCACCTTATTCACCAGATCTGGCACCGTGCGACTTCTGGCTCTTCCCCAAAGTCAAAATGACCATAAAAGCAAAACGTTTTGAAGCAGTTCAGGACATCGAGGCAGCCACGACAGCACAACTAAAGACACTCATGAAAGAACTTCCAGAACTGCTTCAGAAAGTGGCAAGAACAATGGGATAAGTGTGTTCAAAGCGAGGGAGAGTATTTAAAGGGGGATTAATGGCAATATGTCTTTTACTATAATACATTTTTTTTAATTTAAACATTCACCATAGTCGTTTATCATACCTCATATAGCACTTTAAAGCTCGTACTACTATTTTTTTTCATTTTTAAAATTTATTTTTATTTTTTTCAGTTATAGTTGACATTCAATATGATTTTATATTAGTTTCAGGTGTATAGAATAGTGGTTAGACATTTCCACGCTCGTGCTGGTATTAATTGAATATTTCTTTTCTAGGTTTTTAAGTTGCTTGGTGGCAAGGGGTATGCCTTATTCAGAAGTATATTTCATTCAATGCTAGATGTTCGGTATATTTTTCTTTATTGAATAAAGGAATAGACATGGAGGAAGATAAATTTTTCTACAAGCTGTTTGCTGGAACTGAAAATCGTTATAACAAGTTGAGAACAACCAAAAACTGCATTTATTGCTGGTAGTTCTAAATTGTGCTCCTGGGTTCTACAGCACAGTATATTTGGGAAAACCTACGTAGTCATTAGTGATTGTAATATGAGTTGGGATGTGATTTAGTTACTAAAGAAGCTAATTTGACTTGTACCACATTAACGGAGGTGTACTTTCTACAGTAAGAAATGTGATAGCCGTGTTCCATGTACCAGTCCACTTCTCCTATGTTACAATCTGTTTTATTGAGGGAGGCATATTTGATGAGGGTCCTAGATAAAAGAGAGAATTCAGAGAAGTGATCTGGGGTGGGGGAGGGTGCAGGGACCATAGAACTGACACATGGATGAAAGCTAGTGATTGCTCAGGGAGTTCTCAAGGGGAAGACATGGACCTCTAGGAAGGATATGAGAAGACAGATTATGACTCAAAGAAGACCATATCTAGGAATGACAGAGTACATTTCCTTAAAGGGAAGTAAGCTTCTCAAACTATGGCAGGCAACAACTTTTCTGGGTGGCTTTAGAAAAATGGGACACCAAAGGATTAAGGTGAAGTAGGGAGTAGTGAGGTTAAACCAAAGAGTGGAGTGTAGTCATCCACCCAGAGGTCTTTTGATGGGATAATCGAGG